CAATTGTCTTCTTTATTCAGTTCAGTTCTCAACTGTCCTCCAAATCATAATTTGAAATTGACAGAAGACTGATCGAATTATCCCCTAAGGTACGGGATATCAAGGAAAGATAGAATTTTTTTTTTTTTTTTTGGATTTCCAAATGTAATTTCAATAGATCGTACTTATAAGTGGCATAAATTATATTTCCAGTCGCTTAATTTTTCAATGTGTTTATCTAATCTATTATTCATTTATTTTAATAGCATATTGAAGGAAAATTTGTATATCATAAAACTTACCTACTTTAAATGTAAAATTTAATGAAGTTAGTAAATTTGTAGCGTTGTGTAATCATCACTATGATCCAGTTTGAAAACATTTATATCGCCCTGGCCGGTTTGGCTCAGCGGTTAGAGCGTTGGCCTGCGGTCCGGAGAGACCCGGGTTCGGTTCCCGCTAAGGGCATGTACCTCGGTTGCAGTTTGTCCCCGGCCCTGGTTGGGTCGTGTGGGTGGCAACCACTCGATGTGGCCCTTTCATGTCGATGTTTCTCTCTCTCTCTCCCTTCGACTCTATCTGAACAAAAATATCAAAAAATGTCCTCGGGTGAGGATAAAAAAAAAAAAGAAAACATTTATATCAAATCAAAAAATCCTTTGTGACTCATTGCGGGCAGTTTCTGCTCCCACCTCCAGCATCAGGTAGCCAGGGAGCTGCTCTCTACAATCATCCTGTTCTGAACATTATGCAATATATGATATTTTACATCTTTGCATAACGTTTTTGAGCATATTGTAGCATGGATCAGTAGTTAATTCTTTTAAAAAAATTTATTGCTGAGCAGTACTACATTGAGTGGATATGCCAATTTCTTCACTCATTCTCTAGTTGGTAGGCATGTGAATTGTTCCCAGTTGAGTTGTTTCTAGTTTTCGACTGCTATGAACATTTGTACATAAGTCTTGATGTGGATATATTTTTGTTTCTCTTAGGTAGGAATAAAATTTCTGGGTCATATGGTAAGCATATTGTTTAACTTTTTAAGAAACTGCCAAACTGTTTCCCAAAGTGGCTGTAACATTTTACATTCTTACTAGCAATGCATGAGAGTTTCTCCACATATTTGCCGATGCTTGTAATTGTCTGCCTAGGAGTATAGTTATTCTAGTGGGTATAAAGTGGTACATCATTGCAGTTTTAATTTGTACTTCCCTAATGACTAATAATGAGCACATTTTCATGTGATTAATGTCTATTTGTATATCTTCTTTAATAAAATATCTATTCAAATCTTTTGCCCATTTTTAATTGGTTGTTTGCATTTACATTTTTTGAGTTGTAATAGTTTTTCTTTTTTAAAAATAGTAGATACAAGAGCTACATCAGACATATAAATACTTTATCTCAGTTGGTGGCTTTACGTTTTTTTTCTCTTAATGGTATCTTTTGAAGTGTAAAAGTTTTACATTTTGATGATATCCAGTTAACCATTTTTTTCTTCTATGGATCATGCCTTTGGTGTTGAATCTAAGAACACGTTGATGAAACTGATGTCACAATGATTTTCTTTTATGCTTTCTTATACAAGTTTTATACTTTTAGCCCTTATATTTAGATCTATGACTCATTTTGAGTTAAGTTTTGTGTATGATGTGAACAGAGGACCTGAGTTTATAATTTTTCTTATTGATATCGGATTGCCCTAGCATTATCCCTTCCCAACTCTTGATACCCCTATTGAAGATCAATTGGCCATAAATGTAAGGGTTTCTTTCTGTACCCTCAGTTCTGTCCTGATGATCTGTATGTCTGTTCTTTTGCCACTACCATACAGTCTTGATTACTATGTGCATTGAAATTAGAATGAGTCTTCTTATTCTCTTTCTTTTTTTTTTCAAATTGTTTTGACCATTCTGGATCCTTTGCTTTTCCATATAAATTTTAGGGTCAACTTATCAATTTTTGGAAAAACAAAAAAACAAAAAAACCAACCCTACTAGAATGTTTATAAAGATTACATTGAATCTAAAGATCATTTTGCAAAAAATTGCTATCTTAACACTATTGAATTTTGCAATTCATTAATATAGAGTATCTTTTATTTATTTTGATCATTAATTTTTCTCAGTTTTATAGTTTTTAGCATACTAGTCTTGTAATTCTTTTGTTACATTTATTCCTAAGTATTTTATTTTTTTGACGCCATTGTGAGTAGAGTTTTTTTTCTTAATATCCTTTTCTGATTGCTGATTGTTAATGTATTATATACAATGACTTATTATTTAGTCTTGTAATTTTGGAACTTGCTGGTCTTGATTATTTGTTCTAGCAGTGTTTTTGTGGATTCCCTATAAGATTTTATTTTTTGTAGATGAAGAAAATTTTGATCCTCCACAGTAGTCTGAGGACAGTGGTCAGTGGGCACAGCCAGTCCTTGCAGCTAATCAGCCTGAGTAAATCTCTCCCACTGACATGCCAACAGCAATCAAGACTCAATTATAACAGAAAGGTATACAGTCCACATGAGGGTTGCACCTTTGAGGGCCCAGCTAGGGTGATCAAGAAGGCTGTGCCACTGGATCCTATAGGACACCTACAACAATAGGACACCCTACAAAGCCTAGGAGACATAGCAACTCTACTTAATACATAGAAACAAATACAGGGAAGCAGCCAAAATTAGGATACAAATAAACATGTCCAAATGATAAAAAAACAAACAAACAAAAACTCCAGGAAAAGAACTAAACAAAATTGAGATAAGTAATCAATCACCTTCAGAGTTCAAAACACTGGTTGTAAGGATGCTCAAGGAACTAGTGACAGCTTCAAGAAACTTAGTTAGGACTTCAAGGAACTTAGTGAGAACATCAACAACATAAAAAAGAACTGGTCAGAAATAAAAGATGAGCTAACTGAAATAAAGATTAATTTACAGGGAATAAGTATTAGAGTAAGTAAAGCCAAGAAGCAAACCATTGATTTGGAATATAAGGAAACAAAAAATACCCAATCAGAATAGGGAAAAGAAAAAAGAATTCCAAAAATGAGGACAATGTAAGGAGCCTCTGGGACAACTTTTGGTGTGCCAACATTTGCATCATGGGGGTGCCAGAAGGAGAAGAGAGAGACCAAGAAATTGAAAACCTATTTGAAAAATTAATAACAGAAAACTATCTTAACTTGGTGAAAAAAACAGACATATAAGTCCAGGAAGCACAGAGAGTCCCAAACAAGATGAACCCAAAGAGGTCCACACTAAGACACACATTCACCAAAATGCAAAAGGTTAAAGACAAGGAAAGAAACTTAAAAGCAGCAAGAGAAAAACAGTTTGTTGCCTGCAAAGGAGCTCCCATAAGACTGTCAGCTGATTTCTCAAAAGAAACTTTGCAGGCCAGAAAGGAGTGGCAAGAAATATTCAAGGTGATGAAAAGCAACCACCTACAACTAAGATTATTCTATCCTGAAAAGCTATCAGTTAGAATCAGTGGACATATGAAGAGTTTCCCAGACAAGAAAAAGCTAAAGGATTTCATCACCACCAAACCAGTATTATATGAAATGTTGAAGGGTCTTCTTGAAGAAGAACAAAAATATGAACAATAAAATGGTAGTTAATACATATCTATCAACAAATAAATCTACAAACAACATGAGCAAGCAGAGCAGAAACAGACTCATAGATGCAGAGAATGTTTTGTTGCTTGCCAGATGGGAGGGGGCTGAGGGGATAGGTGAAAAAGGTCAAGCAATTAAGAAGTACAAATTGGTTGTTAGACTGATAAACCTCAAAGGGAAGGGGGGGGAAGGGAGGGCAGAATGAGGTAAACCAAATAACTTCAATGCATATATGCATAACCAATGGACACAGACAATAGTGTGGGGAAGGCAGGAGGGGGGAAATTCAATGGGGGAAAAAGAGGGGAACATCTATAATGCATTCAATAATAAAGATAAGTTAAAAAAAATTTTTATAATTTTACATCTTTTTTAACCTTCCTTTCTATTTATTAATAATATTATTATTATTATTATTATTATTATTATTATTATTATTATTAGCTTTATTGCACTGGCTAGAACCTCCAGTACAATGTTGAATAGAAATAGTGGCAGTCTGGCCTTGTTCCCAAACATGGGGGCAATCTGCCTAGTTTGATGTTACATGCTGTAGATTTTCTTGAATGCTCTTTGTCAAGTTGGAGAATGTTTCTTTCTTTTCCTACTTGGTTGAGAGTTTAAATCATCAATATTTTGAATTTTTGTCAGATGCCTTCACTGCACTTATTGAAATGGTCATGTGCTTTTTGTCCCTTAATCTAGTAAGCATATTACATTAGTTGATCTTGAGATGTTGAAGCAACTTCTTAATTCTGGGATGAATCTCACTTGGTCAAGGTGTATGTTCATCATTATATAGTGCTGGATCTGGTTTGCTAATATTTTATTGAGAAATTTTTACCTCTATGTTTATGAGAGATTTGTAATTTATTTTCTTGTGTGTTTTGTAGTCTTTGCCAAATCCAACATTTGAATACCCTTAAAAATAGTTCCAATTGCCTGATTTTTTTTTCTCACAGTAGGAATCAAACATTCCTATTACTTTTCATATCTGATTAGTTTTATTGTTGAAAACTGGACATTTTTGATATATTGTAGCCATTCTGGGCTCTGATTTTTTTCCCTTCTGTTTTTTGTTTATTATTATTTTTTTAATTTGTAGCTGCCATTTTGTTGCCTGGAAAAATTCTGTGGAGTCTCTCTCTTCTTTGATGTGTAGTCACTGATGTTTCTGTTCAGTGTTTTTTTCTCTGTTAAAAGCTGGCTTCCTAGGGGTCACTGCTGAGTCAGCATGGCTTGGTATTCAGCCAATGATTGGTCAAAGATTATGTTTGTAGGGGAGGAAAATTTTTTTCTTTATTTTACTTAGGTTCTTTGCTGGGGTTCTATATAAAAACCAGTTACTCAGGGAAGAGAACCTCAAAGAGGTGGTCTAATTTTTTTTTTTAATTAAAAAAAAAATGCAATGCTTCACAAATGTGCATGCCATCCTTGCGTAGGGGCCGTGCTAATCTCTATACTGTTCTAATTTGAGTATATGTGCTGCCAAAGTGAGCGCTCAAAGAGGTGGTTTAGAATTCAGGCTTACAGAGCATCTTCAACAAAGAATAATAATTTGTAAAGAAATGACAGGACAAAGGAAAGCAATTTTAGGCTTCTGAGAGCAGCAAACTATGGGAAGGTAAATATATGGGAAACTACTTTCAGAAAAAGGCTACTGGGCAGATAGGGTCTAAAGTTGGCTCCAGTGATTAACTTTTGTCCTTCCTGGTAAAGAGGGGAGCATGGGCACCTTTGAGAATGTGTGACCTGCTTTTAGGGAAATAGAAAGCAGGCAGGGAGTTTTCTTGCACAGGATTCTCAAATGCTTTCAGCTCAAAATAGTCCTTGGGCCAAAGTAGCAAAATTTGGGGTGACACTTTTCTATTTCCTTTATGTTTGAACATCTCAAGTAAGCAGGTAATGTTTTCACCTATAGTCAATGGGTCTATGTGTGGTTTGGGAAATGCTTAAAAAAAAAATGTTGTTTTGCCCGGCCATTGTGGCTCAGCGGTTGAGTGTTGACCCTTGCACAGGGAGGTTGCAGGTTCGATTCCTGATCAGGGCACATGCCCAGGTTCTGGGCCCGATCCCCAATGAGGGGCATGCAGGAGGTAACCAATCAATGTTTTCTCTCATTGATGTTTCTACCTCTCTCTCCCTCTTCCTTCCTCTCTCTCTAAAATCAATTTTTAAAAAGTTATATAAAAAATGTTATTTTATTTTTTTAGGGAAAGAGAGATAGAAACATCATGTGAGAAAGAGACATCAATTGGCTGCCTCCTATACACCCCCTACTGGGGATCGAGCCCACACCCCGGGCATGTGCCCTGACCGGGACTCAAACTGGGACCTCTCAGTCCGTGGGATGACACTCAATCCACGGAGACACACTGCCAGACTGGGAAATGCTTTTAAAGAATCAGCAGTTTATAAGCTCTCCCTGACATTTACTTGCTGTTCAGTTGACTTGTTTGACCTCTGCATGTTTGCATGGCCTCATGTTCATCCAGGACTGTTTGAACTGCATTCTTGTCTCACCTTGTACTTACACAGAGCCTCTCAGACTCACCGGGATATGTAGTTACTTATCAAGGCCCTATGTATAAGTTTCATTCTCTCTTCCTCCCAAATTTCTAGCCAGTCTACCAGGTTGTTACTAAACCCAACCAGGATCTAGTTCACCTAGGCTTTCTGTGGTCTTGGTCTTCATTCTTTCAACCTCAAGGTGGCTACTCTTTCTGACTGTGCCTAAGAGCATCCAGTTTTTTCTGACCATTTCTCCAAATCAAGATATCCCTCTCATGGGGCAAAACTGCTGTTTTTCACAGCGCACCCTGCCCTAGTGAAGCTGGTGGTGCTTGTTGAGGGGATGGAAGCAACTCCTGGCTAAAACCCAACAGATTCCCACTGTTATTGCCTAAGATTTAGGGTTTTATTTTCTTGATTTTATCAATCTTTATGATGTTTATAAATAAATCTTATTTATAAATGTTTACAAATAAACATTTTTCAATTTATTGTATGCCTTTGGTCCATTTCCAATGAAATTCTACCTGTGGTTCATTAAAAAATTCTGCAATATTAGTTTCTGACAACTTTGTTCTGTTTTTTCATTGATTTTTGAGGAAAGAATCTTTTTAGAATCCTACTCCAGTATTCTGAAAATCCTGTTCATTTCACTGTTTGGCAGTTGTTTTCAGGGACATAAAAATAAGTTTACAAAGCTGTTTATTTGAGGTTTAAATATATTTTTTTCTTTCACTAAACACAGTTGGTTTGTTAAAGTTTTAGGCATTGGGTACATCTTGCCTACTAATAATCATCCTCTATTTAAACTTTGCTTATAGTTACTCATGGTGTGATGACATTTTATTTGACATTTCCTTATCAACTGTTAATTTAGCAACCTTACATTGGTCAGTAAAGTCAACAATTTTATGTGTTTAGTTTGCGCTCTAACATACACCTACCTGACTGTACTTTGTAGAAAGTCATGTGCTGTCTCTGTGGGACATCGAGATTATTAAGTGAAGATTCCCAGAGACTCTCATGCCCCCTGCTGTCCCATTCACCTCTGTGGTTAATGGCTTCCCAGGTCTCCCATTCGAGGACATCTTTTCAATCAGTGTCAGACTACAATCTGGATCATCTGTGTTCAGTCCTTCTTACATCTTTCTTTTTTCTTACATCTATTCTTCTCCTCTTTGTACTTGGGAGAATATAAGATTCCCTTAAAAATAATCTTTAAATCTTTAAAAATCTCTTGCTTAAGTGGAAAGGTAGAATATAGGTTCAAGCCTAGAAAATATGAACTTGGTTCTGATTCTCCTCATCTATAAAATGAAGAAGTTGGACTAGTTCAGTTCAAGGATTACCTCTGGCTCTGTAGATCTGCGATTCTGTGGATTTGAATTCCTGTGTTAACTATGACATATGTCTATTTAATGGAGTTGATCTTACACATTAAAAACCAATTAACACATGTGTGCAACTAATAAGAAAGATAGATATGTATAAATTAATTTCTCACTTAAAACTCCCTGGGAGGTGAGGTAAAATGTAAGGATTGACATAAACCTTTTTCCTTTTCATGCCATGTTCTCAAACACAAACTATCTTCTGGAGGTGACTAGGGCCCATCAGCTTTCTATTCTGCAGATGAGGAGAGCATTGAGAGTTAATGGGCTGGCAGGCAAGGCCACAGAGGTGAGTGTGAGAGTCAGAAATGGGATGTCTACTCTAAATAGCCTTCCGTTCCCTATTCATCCACATGCTTTGCTGCTGCCTTCTCTTAGTTCTGTTTTTGGAAACACATTTAGCCTATTTTGAATTGTACTACTTATTCAGCATGTATTAAATATCAATAGGAATATTGAGACTGAAAAATTTTCTCACATATTTATTGCAGCTACACACTCTGAGCACATGCTTAGTTTGTAAATGAGTCACTCTAATACTTCACCCTATATACACTGATACTTATACTAAATATAATTATTTTGTAAATTATGCTAATTTTTATTTACAATATTTCAAATCAAATGTAATCATTTATTTATCCTCTGTTGGAGAGAGCAAGCTTTATTATTTTTTCCATATCTTTTCAACTCTCTGCCTCTTTTTGGTTGAGATATAGAATTAATCTCAGCTCCTTGGCCTCATCCAAATAAGAACTACCCTTTTCTGAACATATATTATCTGGCAGGACCCCTGCTAGGTGCTTTACAGAGAGGATATCTAATTCTTGAAATAATCTCGCAAGCTAGTACTTGCTTTGCAGGTGGGCAAACAAGCTTCGCGAGATGGGTGATTTAGGCACTCACTATGTGTAGTGGTGGGAACGGTTTTCAAAGACATGACTCTCATTCCACACTTGCATTCTTTTCATTATCCCACATGTATCCTCCCTGCCTTACCACTCCTAATGGCTCTTTGAAAAGATATTTGTCGATGTCACCTATTTTATTTATTCTTTGGTGTGTTCTGTATTAGTTTTTCTCTCTTTCTTCCTCTTTTTAAAAACCATATATATACCCTGCAATCCTGAAAGAGTTCTTAATCAGTTGGCCCCAAGTTCCTTGCCAAAAGCATGGCCATGTGACCCATATAGGGAGGATACAATCAAGAAGCTGACACTCAGGGGTGTTCTGATGAATTTGCCTTCGGACAGTGAGGGCCATCTGGGAGAACTGAGATCAGGGAAGGAGCAAGAGCTGTGATGACATTGTTTGACCCTCAGCCACCTGTGCCTGAGGCCATTCCACTCCCCTGTGACACCCAGGTGAAGTGTCACACTATATTCCTGCTGTTGCTTAAACCACCTTCAGTTGGGTTTCTGATACTTGCAACCAAACAACCCTAAATGAGAATTCCTAACACATGCTCTTATAGGACATGGATAGTATTATGAGGTGTGTCGATAATATCTTATTCTATGTAATACCGATTCTTTGGTGACTGCATGGCTGTTACAGGTGACGGGCCCAAGCTCCTCATTCTGGAGCCCCAGTGAAAGCAACTATTTGTCTTTTCACTCAGACATATAAAATTGATGTTGACTGGGTAGAGATGCCCTGTCATCTTCCACATTTGGAAAGGGAAGTCTGGGCAGGGGGTGGGGATGGGGCAGATGCAAATGACTTAAGAATGATAAGCTCTTCTTAAGGTTCCATTTAATTTGATGTGTGGGAGCTTCTGTCCTTGGTGCTGAATATTCATGTTTAGTGAGGAGTCCCAGAGGCTTCACAGCAGCGTCATTTTCTACAATTTCAGAGTGAAGAGAAATGTGCTTTTTGCTGATAATGAACCCGAGGAATGATGAAGGGGAGCTGAGGAATCTTTTTTAACCATTTATTTTCTGACAAATCATTTTCATCTGAAGTTCACAATTCAGAAAATGTTAAGAGCACAGTGAGGGCTTTTGCTTAATTCCTGGTAAGCTTGTTTTCAAATGAGGATACATGAAGGGCAAAAGGCATAAGTAACCCATCTTTTAATAAGTGCTGATTAAACTCAGTATGGGGTGCATGCATTATTTCAAAGTTATTAACTTCTTGACTCAGTTTAAATTGCCATAAATTACATCTGCATGAAGGACTTAGCCACTTTCTCCTTCCAGTAGTGCAAAATGTCACAGGATGGTAACAAGGTTGGAAGTAAATTGAAGCAAGAATAGAATCTTAATACATGCAAGTTGATAGAATTCCTTATCACTACTCACTGTTAGAATGCAAAACTTGCTGTCTTTTTCCTTGGCAGCATTTTTGATCATGCTATAGGGAGATTTCTTAAAAATACTATTCTTGGAGGAAGCAGAGTGAGTAACAGGAGAAAGTGAAATGTGGTTAGAATTAGGAGAATAGAAGCAGATCTCTTACCTGAAGCAATTAGAAACAATGGGTGGTGGGTTAAATGAAAAAGTCATTTAGCCCAGCTGGTGTGGCTCCGTGGTTGAGCATCAATCCATGCACCAAGAGGTCGCTGGTTTGATTCCCGGTCAGGGAACATGCCCAGGTT